GCATTTAACAAACACTGTGTTCAAGGTGCTTCTCTTGTGCTATCTCGATGAATCCCACATCCTTACAAGGTGGCTTTATTTTTCTGTTTTATAGAAGAGGAAATTGAGGATCAGAGAGGTTAACTGACCTGCCCAAGCCCACACTGTTGGTGAGAGTGGTAGAGCTGAGATACAAACCCACCATGTCTAAATCCAGAGTCATCATCTTCCCTCCCGTACCTGCCCCACCTCCCCTCAGCCTGCCAGACTCAGAGAACCCTCTTCTCTATATCTTCCCAACCAGGCCCTGCCCAGTCTCCTTCCATCCTCTCCTCACCCGTTCTCACTTGATGGGGCTCTTGGCTGCTTTTAACCTACCAGAAGCACACCTCTGTGCTATGACTTTCCTTGCCTCCTTATTGCCTGTGGATAAAGTTCATCATCCCTGGCCCAGCATTCAAGGACCTTAACCATCCAGCCCCTGCCTTCTCTTCCTACTTTGTCCCAACAGGCAGACTTGGCTCATGGTCCTGAACACCTACCCCACACTTGGGTACCAATGTGCCTTTGCTCACCCTGGTCCCTCTACCTATAGCGCCCTCTTCTCATCTCCAACATACAAATCTGCTACCTCCTCCAGGAAGCCTTCCCTGTAGCCCAAAGAGGAAGAGCCTCCTCCCTCCTCTGAACTCCTATAGCAACATTATGAGCCCCACCTTGACTACCATGAACTATGGAGACGTGGGCATTGGCTTATCTTCCCCTGTAACAGTGAGCTCCTTGGAAGACATAATTTATGCTTCGTTCATCCTCACGCCCCTGGAGTCCCTGGTATACAGCAGATGCTCAATTAATATTTACCAGATGAGTGAATTCTCATGTTCCTCATGGTCTCCGGGAAACAGAACTCCCAGCCTCTTCTCTGTTGGCTTTTAGGGTCAGTCCAGTGCAAACTTAGGGAAAGTATTGTCCAAGTTCCATAAACTTGCAGTAGCTCTGCTTCCTGCTTTCCACCATGTGCTTCCCTCTGTCTTCCTAGAATTGTCACAGTTCTCCTTGGCCAGTGACTCAAATATAAAACCGTT